CAACGATACGAAGTGCTGCCATCATGTGTTCGTGGTGTAGTGGATACAGTAGGCTACTTGGCTCATGTCCAAGAGGTACCGGTAACCAGATCGAATCCCACCAGTGATACTAACTTTTTGTCAAAGATTTTGCTTAGAATGCAATTACTTCTTAACTGAACAGCTTTTGTTAGAATTTGAGGCATTTATAATTTTATTTTATGAACAGAACTATTTTTTTCGATTAGTAAACTTTTATTTGATTTTTTCATTATCAGCAAGTTTAGTTAGTTAGACAGTTTATGGTTGTTGAACAGTTTAGGCTATGACAGTTTAGTTTTATATTAGAATGCTCTTATTTCGTCCATAGTAAACTTTCATTCGATTTTTTTCATTATCAGCAAGTTTGGTTAGTTAGGTTAGGTTATGACAGTTTACTTTTACAATGGAATGCTCTCATTTCGTCCGCATCACAATAGCCTGTGACAACGGACACAGAATTACATCGAAACATACTTTTACAACAGAAAAATCTTGAAAATCTGTCAAGCGGTTGATTCAGAATCTTTAAATAAAAATACCCTCCCACGTTTCTTAATAAGAATGTAACTTATATACTTTATTGTCAATTTTGGGTAAAATAAAAAAAATGGTAACATACATAATCTGGAAAAAGATTCAATCATATGCAACTATGTTTAAAAACATGCAAAGGTGGAAAGAACGAAGCACGATGTTGTTCAACTGGGTGGAGATATCGTGGGTTGGCTCTACTATGCAGCCCCGAGCTAACACAAAACAAACTACACTATCACCTACAGAGAGAAATTGTTATTTTACAACGGCGAAACGTTTGATTTAATGTTACTGTGAACCAAATGCTGGAATTTAAAATGCATTTACCTTTTTAAGGTTCTCAGCTAGGTTAAAATAATTTGAATTCCTATACTCTATTAAAAAACAACTATACGACTTTGTCTTGTAATATTGGGTATATAGAAAAAATTTTATAATTAGAACCAATGCTACTAGGAATTGAGTTTCAGTTTGGGTAAAATATGAAAAGTGGAGAAGGCTTCTGTTACATGTAACCATGTTAAAACAAAAATCGAAAGTTCGCAGTACATTACACTGACAAGGGGTCTGGAACTACAGCATGAGAGGGAGGTAACAAGGCAGCCCCGAGCTACAAAACAAAATATCATTTACGGCCCTTGATATTTCATAATTTACTTACAAAGATTCGTCGAGACATATTTTTGCGAGCCGTTAAAACGTTTGATTAGTTAACGTCTTATGGAATTCAATCTAAATTATATAAAAATATTAACATATTAATACTAACAACGGAAATATTTTAAAGTTATTTTAAAATCATATAGTCTTCCCAAGTGATGTGACGATGTTTTGGACTAATGTATACAAGTTAGGACTGTTGAACTTTGCAAGAAAAGTAATCAAACTTGTCATACAGGCCATCCTCCCTGAGACGGAGTGTATTGTCTTCTATATTTTACTATTTTTCATGTAAACATAAAGGTTTGTTTGGAATAGAAATGCTGCATTACGTTTGTATGATTAGAATCTAAAATCATACATCAATAATTATAAAAAAGTAATAACTTAAAAAAATATGTAGATTGCCGAATAAATTTAGTTTGAAATGCAACAATATCAAAGAGATTTGTTGTTTTTGTGTGAAATTATTCACCTTCTTATCACCCTATGCTTTTGTATTCTCTCTCACTAAGTACCGTTAGTTTACGAAACTTTGTAAGCATAGAATAATAAAGCATTTTCATTGATTAAATACATGTTAAATGTAATTTAAATTCCTCTAATGGTTTATTAAATAGTTTTAATTGTTTAATTACCTACTGGTTGTGAAGACATCCACAAGCATTAGGATGGCTATACACATAATTGAGCCAAATCATAATTTTTAAAATTTTAAAAGTTTCTGTATAGCAAATAGGGTATCAGTCATATTATTTTTTAGGGTAAAACGTTGTGACGATCTTCAAATAAAAGTTTTATTCTTGCTAAAAACTTAAAAGCTCTAATACATATATGAAATTTTAAAAACTTTTTAAATCAAATTTTGAAAATGTGTGACCTTTTTTAGTAATCTAATTATAGTTATCTAAACAACGAACAAAAAAGCATGGGGTTTTTCATGGTTTTTTTGTACTCTTCCATCAACACCAAAAACCCTGGTTGGAACTAAGCATAAGTGAACAGGTGTGAAGCTTTGGTAATTGGCTGACGTTTCTACTCAAGCAAACAGGTTAAAAAAGTCCTTTACATCTAACAATGTGAAGACAAAATCGTAGACTACTTGATAAAACTCAAATCGGGATTAAATTAACAACAATCCTAACGACGAAACGATATTAATTGCCAGAAGGAATTCAATAAACCTGATGGTATGCGTTTAGAATTATTTCAGTTGGTTAAAAGTGTTTGACTTGTCCTCATATTTGTACACACAATATTCGTGCAATCCCTAAAAAGAAAGTTAAATTATAGCTTGATTACTGTATGAAACGACATCTACTCCAAGATAAAAACATTTTAGGGTACAACAATTATTATTTGCGATAATCACTTATTGAAACCATTACCAACTATTATTAAATACGAATGAATAGGTATAAAACTAAAATAACAATATTATTTTCTTCCATTTTATTATAATAGTCAATATAAACTGTTATCGTGAAATAATATGAACCTCTTGACAGAAGACAAGTCGTCTAAAGTAGACTGGCAAAGTAGCAATCCAACTTGGTGGGAGCAGCAATGTGTCTTCTTGGTTATATTATATTGCTCCGGTCCAACAAAATAAATTGCTTACTTACTCTTTTAGTCTTTATGTAATGTAACTGTATCAAACATTATATTCAAACTATTCAATTCTTGTTGACACTATTCAACAAGTATTGTGTATACTTAAAACGTGAGTAAAAATTGTTGCAGTTACATGTGAAGAAATACAGTTCACAAAACCAATTATTACTGTGTCCAGACAGTTTAGATGAGAAGGATATACTATTTTTCACCATACTACGAATACTACGATGTTTTAAATTTTAACCGTTTTACAAACATTAATTGGAGGCTGAAAGCTACGTGTTGCTGACCATGCCAGCTTTCATCGTGTATTGGGGACCGAGCAGGTTTTTACATCCCTAGGGCCGAAAATCAACTGTTCGCTTACTTTCTTAAAACATTTATGCATATTAAGTACACAATCAGTATCCATAGCAGACTTATTTTATTGTCACCACTGCCTAGCAATAGCAACTATATATTATTTTTGCTGATTCCTCAAATTATTTCTTCATATAACCTTAAAGTTATAGTTGAGTTGACTGTTAGTGTGCATTATTATGGTAGTGAATAGTGGTAAAAGGGTATAGTGTGTTGAAAAATAGCTTTCGTTACACGGGCTGAAATGGTTTTGCAGCTCTCGATCGTTTTAAGTTCTGGACTTCGTCTCGAACTTAAAAACTAGGGTCTACCTCGAGCCGGCAAAACCTCATTTTCGGCCTACGTACGAAATATACTATTTCAGACCCTTCTTTGACAAAACTAAGAAGCATTTAACATCCTAATGATATTTTGACCATTTATATGCCTCCACGAAGAAAAATAAAGATTTAATTGGCTTACACCATTTCAACGATAAACTAAACTAATTTTAAAGAGATAATTGGAGTGTAACATTGTTTAATGAATACATGTAAAAGAATAAAGGTAAACATTTTGTATTTTGAACACAAACTGATTTTGGATGTCAGTATAAAAAAATTATATGCATTGGTAAATTTATATGTTGAAATTGTCAAATCAATAAGCCAGAATGGACAATACTTTACAGATAAAGTTAAGTAGCCATATTGTGGCTTTTATAAAATATTCCTTGACTTCTGTTACTGTATTTTCCCTGCAACATGAAGCCCTGTAGACTACACAGCCCCGTTGATCAGCTGTTCGTTCACTCCCTCGCTGAGTGCTTATTGCTGTTGTTTCCTGCTCTTTTCACCCCGGAACTGCCCTCAACCCTTTTAATGTCAATTTAAAGTGATGTCTCTACAGTTCAGTTGGATTTTCGTTTTATTTTATCCAAAGAGCATTAGCCAATCTCCAAGTTTAAGATTATACGTTTTGTTTCCTAAAATATGTTTAAAAGTTAATTCTTGACATTATAGCCAATCATTATGTTAATATTGAATGAGGAAGCTGCAGTTATACTAACTAAGGTATAGTGTATCAATAATAATTATACGTTTCAATTTGATGTAGTCTACATTATATGCTTTTTTGTTCGCTAATATTTTTACCTACAACAAGCTTGTTTAACTTTTCATTTTACATTACTGGATTTATTTTGATTTATTTCCTTCTAATATTGCATTCAAGTTGGTATGCTCAATTTTAGGAGTCATAAGCCTTGTTCTTGAATCAGAATATAACCACTACTAAGAACTCAGTTAAACAAGTTATAAAAATACGTTGCTTATTATTAAAAATGAGAATGAATTTTTTTTCGGAAAGTGACCTGAGGGACATAAACAGATCGCTATATTACAGAACACAGTCATTGTTGACCTCCTTTGTTATTTGTCTGCGGAGGCTAAAGAATAATGTGAGTTGTCACTTAATACAGTTACTCTGCACCTTTCTCAGTTTTATTATATTTTCCTGCAGTATTTAACAATACATTTCGTCGAGGTTTAGCATTTTCAATTTGTTCCGTAAAAAATGAGAATACAAACTAGGCTAAACCCTCTATTTTACAACACTATAAGTATAAGTACATCATTCAACTTTTTGAAAATTATTCCTATTTCCAAGAGTTAAGTAGCCGGTTGAACGATACTGATAAAAGTAGTACTGTAGTGGGTACCAGGATTTGAACCCACAACATCGGTGTCTTGGGTTTTTAGTTTGTTGCGCAACTGAACCAACAATGAGGAAATCGCAAGACATCTACTACAGTTTAGATTTTTACTCACAATGTTGCCGTGTCCTGGGAGTCAGACTCGTCATCATCAGAGTCATCCTCACTGTCATAGAACACATCATCAGGCTCCTGCTTGGTCTCCTCCTGTAGCTTAGACTTGGGGATGACGATGTCTCCACTCTTGTGAAGTTCCTTCTTGCTGACACAGACAGCGGTGAAGGCGTCCTCCAACAGACAAAGCTCCTTCTTCTTGCAGTTCAGCGGGTGACACAGATCACCTGAGAATAGAAAAGAAAATAAGAAATATTTAAGGCGATTTTTAATGAGGAGATTTAGGCGAGTGGCTTGGTACACACATATATATCTGATCATTGACTATAATAATTATACCGGAGTAGGCCCTACATGCCATGAACCTAGACCAGCTGAGGCCAATCTGTAATTAATATAGAACGTGGTTTGCACTAATTGAGTGAGCTACCCTACTGCCATCATTATATTTTCACTAGTATAAATAATGATGTTGTATAAAATAAGTTGATATTTCAGTTAAGTCTATTTATAAAGTTGGTGTACACAAAAGATTAGTGATTGACACAGCAAACGCCAGATTCTCAATTTAAGCAAGTTTTATTCGAAATCTGGCCACAACTTTAACATGTAAATGCGATGTTTTTATATAAGTCTATATTCAAAAATATTTTCGGTTTTGTTGTTCTTTAGTATATTATTGGACATCTAGACATGGAGATTGCTCATACTAGTTTTTCAAGAGATATATATTTTATTTTATCACATAAGACATACGAGTGAATGATTGTAATAGCTTATAGAAAACCAATAAATGTGACAAATTAAAACAAGATGCAGTATATCTATTCACAAACAAACAACAACAGTTTATTAACTCCCCTTCATAATAAAATAAGAATCTTAAAATCACATAAATAAATAATAGTTATTAGACAAACACGCTTTAACAAACCAGATTATTAGTTGTTTTAGCTCAACAAAAAAGTTTATGTAGAAATTCCATACAGATCCATGTTTTAGGGGACAAAATGAGAAAACCCAAGTTTACCCCACCAATCCCCCTATAAAACGTTATTCTCGTAGTCCGATCATGCTGGTTTGCGAACTCGTTAATATAAATGTATGTAAAATAATTTAAGTGTAATAGAAAATACATACCAGAAGGAAAAATAGGCCTATGGTATATATAATTTCATAATCTGCTTTAAGCCTATATACGAAGAGGGAAATAATATTCTTCAAAGGCTGAAATGCTGGCTTTGGAAGAAATAGGCTATTGACTATTGAGTACCACATTACACGCAGACCAATGACCACCTAATGTAGACAGCCCGAGTGTGACCCAATGCTCAATGGACTACACATCGTTATATTAACCTTGAACACATTGTATTATTTGCAATATTGGTGTTTAGGCCTACTTTTTTGTGAATAAATACAAATATGTATAAGAATGTGCTATTTTTGTTTTGCTCCTAAATGTTTGTAATAAATAAACAATTGGGTATAAAAGGCTTGGTTACATGTCTGTTCAGGAGTAGAAGTATTTTAGAAAGTATTTTAAAGTACTGTACTTCTAACATTCACTAAAATTGAGTAAACAGTATATCACATTAATTGAAATGATACATTACATCAGGCAAATAAAAATTAGTACAATCCAAAAACTATCCAACTATCATTCAACAGCAGACCAATCGATTACAACCTGATACAGATCTGTCATGATGGACCTCATCCCTCATACTCATACTGTACTTCTACAATGAGAGTGTGGATGTTGTAATATGAGTGTTGTAAATAAAATGATAAATAGCCTTGGTCACCACAGTATAACTACTGCAATTATTCAACAGCAGACCAATCGATTACAACCTGATACAGATCTGTCATGATGGACCTCATCACTCATAGTCATACTGTACCTCTACAATGAGAGTGTGGATGTTGTAATATGAGTGTTGTAAATAAAATGATAAATAGCCTTGGTCACCACAGTATAACTACTGCAATTATTCAACAGCAGACCAATCGATTACAACCTGATACAGATCTGTCATGATGGACCTCATCACTCATACTCATACTGTACTTCTACAATGAGAGTGTGGATGTTGTAATATGAGTGTTGTAAATAAAATGATAAATAGCCTTGGCCACCACAGTATAACTTACTGCAATTATTCAACAGCAGACCAATCGATTACAACCTGATACAGATCTGTCATGATGGACCTCATCACTCATAGTCATACTGTACCTCTACAATGAGAGTGTGGATGTTGTAATATGAGCGTTGTAAATAAAATGATAAATTGCTTTGGCCACCACAGTATAACTACTGCAATTATTCAACAGCAGACCAATCGATTACAACCTGATACAGATCTGTCATGATGGACCTCATCACTCATAGTCATACTGTACCTCTACAATGAGAGTGTGGATGTTGTAATATGAGTGTTGTAAATAAAATGATAAATTGCTTTGACCACCACAGTATAACTACTGCAATTATTCAACAGCAGACCAATCGATTACAACCTGATACAGATCTGTCATGCCATTTTTTTGCCATTTTTAATCTTTTATATATTGTCCACGGTCTTTATCTGTATTTTTAATACTAACAAGATATCTGTTACCTGCATTAGTGCCATATTTAATAGACAAAACAATGACAGAAAACATGCACATGCACAAAAGTAAAGTTAGAATATCCTCCATGAACAAAGATCCTAAACACTTTTATGCTGCAAGGATTGTTATAAAAGAAAACGGCAAACAGTGCAAATCCTAACCAACTTTGTTTTTATAGAAAAGTCTTAAGGGGTGGATTTCAGCATAATCACTTAGATTCTTAATATTCACCTTGGTATTTATTAGTTTACTAATTGAATAGATTCATTCATACAAGAAGAAAGCACATTATTATTTTGTGCGAAATCGCACAGGCCCCCCTGGTAAAATTTTGATCTTGTCAACAATATTAAAGTAATCAGTTTTGTAAGTAATCACATTGTTCTCAGACAACACCTACATTTTACTTTCTCCCCCTATACCATCATAGTATATGGAGAAAGTATTGTTTTCGTCAAAGTTTTCGAGTTTTAGTTTTGAGTGGATATATCCTTTTTGGGACCCAAACATGTGGATTTCGAAGTGATGTTTGTGTGTGTGTGTCTGTATTTGTACAGAGCTATAGACCACACCTGTGGTCCGCTTTTGATGAAATTTGGTACTTAGATAATAGTCCATGATACCTCCAAGATTTTTTCCTTTTTTTGAAATTTTGATTTTTAATGGTGGTTTTCCCATAAAATCCCATAAAATAACGGAAAATAGGATTTTCTCGAAAATGGCCTAAACGATTTTGAGAGTTTTTATCAAACTATGTTATAATCATTTAAATTTTGGCACATAACGGTACAAATCCCTTTTACGTAAAAACTACGGTTCAAAAGTAATTGTAACTCATGTTATTTTCCAATTTAAAAAATAAATAAATTAACAAATACCCTCGCCGCAGCAAACCTGCAGATTGAATGAATTTCCAATTGCTTGAATTGATTTTCACTTAAATATATTTAAATAACATTAAGTTTATTTGTACCTAGGTTTGCTGCTACAGGGAGGGTAAAAAGCGTGTGTTAATATATAACCATAAAAGAGCTAACTACAAAAGTTTACTATATTCTCCAAAAGAATAACATGGGAATTTTAAATTTACAATTTTTGAATTTTCTCCGTAACCAATAATTGTACAAAAAAGCTTCAATATACCAAAATATTTGCTTTTTGCTTAAAGCTCTACAAAATTGTTTGGATTGAAATTGAGAAATGTTATGTTTTTGGGAAAAAATAAATTATAAATTATGTGGAATTATAAACATGGTTACTTTAACGTGGTTTTTGAGGTTTGATGATGAGTTGGAGGAGATGATCGGATGACTCGCTTCGCCAGTCTGATCAGCTCAACCAACCGAGGACAGGAGCTGAGCTGCTCAATCAACAGTCATCAGTAGGGGAAGGGGAGGGTGCTGTGTACAGCAGCTATCAACAGTCATCAGTGTAAGAAGGGCTAGCAGCAGCTATCAAACTCTAAAATGTAGCATAAAAATTGAATTTTATCATACTATACTGTATTAATAAAATATATATTTTTTCAGGGTGACCAAAAACGGATATTTTCCCTCAAACTCGAAAGTTTTGACGAAATAATACTTCTACCAAATGCAGTAATATGTAAAGGAAAAGAAAAAAAAAAATAATTACACTAATAGCGTTAATTTTAACTATTATGCGCAAACTTAAATTTTGAATTGGGCTTTCAATTTAATAAAGTCGATTAAAGATTTGTCATAAATTCATAGATTTTCAAAGATTACATAAGTTTAGTCTAATAAGTTTAGAAGAATAAGGTTAAGCTTTGATGATAAAAAAAAACATAATTATTTAAAAACAAACTTTCCCAAACCCTTAAATATCTTGACTAAATTTCGGTGAATTTACAATGAAAACCACAAACCTATTTATGCTGATGTTTAGGAAGTTCACATCAGTAACTTGGGTTTGAATTCGAGTTGATGTGGAGTCATCAGCATAAACCAAGATTTTATGGACAAGTTTTTCTCCGTTATCAGTCCAAAGTGGGATTGTAAATGCAGTATTGTACATTCCACTCGAGTTTGAAAGTTGTTGTTATAGAGTTAAAATGTATTTCCACATCTTTTAAGAAACAGTCCAGCAATGACAATGCTATGCAAAATTAATTGTTTTTACAAATCTTGGAAATAAATCGCTAAGGGTACTTTTAGGTTTCAGCAAATTTCCCGTTTAGGGAATAAGTTATTAGGGTACCGTAGGTAAGACCTGGACCCGGGACTGATCACTTTTTAGTTTTGAGGTCCCTAGAGGCCAAAAACACTATTTGTTCAAGCGTGTGTGAAAATGTGACCGTTAGCACGATAACTTAAAACTATGAGCCGATTTTGATGAAATTTGGAATATATTAAATTAAATCTAGATTTATGATAGGATAGGGTTTTCCCATGTTCGACCCTAAATACATAAGATTTTGCAATGACTTTCTAATCCAATTTTGTAGAGCTTAAAAAGCAAATAATTTAGAATATTGAAGCATTGTCGTTTAATGTTTAAAGAGAAAATTCCAAAAACCTGTAAATTAAAAATTCCTATGTTATTTTTATGAAGAGGAAGTAGACTGTCGTAGCTTGCTTATTTA